ATTGGGAAATAAGGAGGAATTTCTTGACTGGGAGAATGATTAAGAATTGGGACACATTTCCTACTGGAGTTGTGGGAGATCTTCAAGAGAAGATTGGCCAACCATTTGTCCCGGACGGTAGAAGGACTCCTGCCTCGAGCAGGGCTTTGGACTAGAAGACCTACAAGGTCCCTTATCAGCAGGATTCCATCTCCCTCTTCATACTGTGCCAGCAGAGCCGGCAAGAACTGCTTCCCATTCACGCCATTCTGGCAATTCATTCACTGAAGAACAAGAAGCAACCGGTGGAAACTTATGAAGGAGAGAGCCAGCCTAGAATGAACGAGAAATTTCCTGACAGTGAAAAGAATAAACAAAGGGGAACGGCTTCCCTCCAGAAGTTGTGGTTGCTTCATCGTTGGAGGTTTTCAAGAAGAGATTGCACAGCCATTTGTTCGGAATTGTATGGGGTCTCCTCTCTGAGCAGGGGGTTGGACTAGAAGACCTCCAAGGTCCCTTCCAACTCTGTTATTCTATTAGTTAATCAGTGGAACGGCTTGCCTCCAGACATTGTGGATGCTCCATCAATGGAGGCTTTTAAGACGAGACTGGACAGCCAATTTTCTGTAATTAAAGTTCCCAAGGTTGCACCTCTCTGGTCTGGGGTCTCCTGCTTGAGCAGGGGGTTGGACTAGAAGACCTCCGAGGTCCCTTCCAACTCTGTTAATTCTGTTAATTACGGCCTCTTTAGTCACCCCTATTCCCAGAACTATTGAGATGCCCAGATAAGGCTGTGCCCAGCACTTGGCTCAAGAGTAAACCAGAGCAGCTGATCGCATAGCCTGCTCAAAGTAGGACATGATATAATCACCTCTGCATCGCCCCACCGATTAGCCCATCCAGCTCTCCACACGCAAAATAAACTCCTGTTTTATGGGCAGTGGAGAAGGCTTGAAGTCCGCGTCCTGCCCAGAGGCACCTGGGATAGGACTAAAATCTGAGCAGTTAAATGCGAGCGTTAGTCGCCGGGCTCCCCTGCCTGTCATCAGGAAGGGCTGCAGGACTTAACTTTGATTTTAGTGTTTATTTATTTATAATGGCTTTAGTCTGCTTTTCATTAAAAGTAATCCCAAACTAGGTACAATTAAGCAGGCTCGGGCCATAAAGAGGGCTGTTGGAACGATGACGGCAATATGGTCGGGAACAAATGGGCCATCAACGGGCGCAGAAAAGCAGTGGGATGGAGCACTAGAATGACAGAATCACAGAGTTGGAAGGGACTTTGGAGGTCTTCTAGTCCAACCCCCTGCTTAAGCAGGAGACCCCACCCCCCCAGACCAGAGATGGGCAACCTTGAGAACTTTAAGACGTGAGGACTTCAACTCCCAGACTTCGTCAGCCGGCATGAGATAACAGTAATAAGATTATATGGGAGCACGTAATACTATATCCTTCGAACTCTGTCGTTCTATGTTCAAGGTTCTATGGTACCCACAGGATGGAAATATGTAGTCGATTTTGTAAGGTCTGAAGAATTCAAGGAGTTATATACAAGTTATAGGTTACAGTTTAAAGTACGTCGATTCATAAAAATAGAATAAGTGTTCTATGTCTTAATATCTAGGCCATTTATCCAACTAAGCGCAATATTTGTTAGTTGGAAACAGAGGTGGGTTTCACACATACTGTTACCACTGGTTCGCCCGGCACTGGAAATGTGAGCCCGCGTGTGCGGCATCACCATCCATGCATGTGTGCGGCGTCACAAAACACGGCAATTCGCTCGCTCCTGCCATCCATACATGCGTGCAGTGTCAAAAACACAGGATATAGGACGGGATTGCGCTCAGGCGGGTGAGATGGGCCCAGGCAGGTGGGATGGGCCCACCCTTAGGTCACTACTACCGGTTTCCCGAACTGGGTCGAACCGGCTGAATCCCACCTCTGCTTGGAAAGCATCTGTTTTCCCCCTCTGTATAAGCCCTTAAATAGCCAGAGGGTCACTCTGTCTGACAAGGAGCACCACAGTCAAATTTAGGGGAGAATACTCTGCCCCACTGAAACAGCATTTAAAGAGTGGGATATGATCCAATAAATTGTCGTGATACGATGGGCTGGCATGTGGGAAAGACCTTGGATGATTCAGCCAGGAGATGCAGCCTGGGAACAATCAGATAAGAGCCAGCAGAGTCCTCAGCTGCATAATGGATGGAGGAAGAAGCTTGTTGTGGCTCCGTTGCCTGAGCCTGGGCTATCGACAGATGCAGACTCTGAGAGTGAGGGAGAGGAGTTGGCAAGGCCTCCCTCTCCAGGACCCTCCTCTCTGGCAATGCCTCCAGAGGACACTGAAGGCCAAGGGATAGGCCCAGAGCCAAGCACGTTCCCGCAGCCACAGGTGGACAGCGACGAAGGAGATAAGTGCTGGCTGGATCCTCGACAGCGGCGCAGGGAGAAGCGTGCGCAGCAGAGGGGAAGGCGTGCCAGAGATTAGCTGAGTCACTGGACCACACCCCACAGGGTATAAATGTGGGTGTGGTGGCCGGTTCAGTTTGTGACGAGCAAAAACTAGAAATAATCCATGATCTCTGCGTTACTGGACTTCTGCCTGCCTTGTCGGACTGCATTTGGACTAATCCTAGTATTGCGGAAACTTTGCCTGCTTTATCGGAATGCTTGCAGTCTAATCTTTGTTTTGTGTGAGTAAAGTCTGAATTGGTAGCTAGCCACTGGGTTGCTGCCAGCTTTATCTTCAAAGATTTTGTCATGTGGCTTATTAACTCCGGGCCATCTATGGGGGTGCGTGTGTGGGACGGGGACAGAACAAAGCTCAGAAGACACCCTCCCTAGTTTCTTGGGCAGCAAAGGGGGTGGGGGAAGAGATGTACTTTCAGTTTCGCCAGATTCCGCCAGTGTAGCTTCACAATAACGCAGAATTAGCCCAACGAACGCAGTTCCCATCTGGTTCACCCCGCGGGGACGACAACACAAACTTTATTTATATTGGTTAGAATTCATACGATTCCTGGGAAAGATTTCTTTAGTTGTGGGACAATGTCGGCTGTCACCCCCTTTTGCTGACACGATGGCAGTGTTCCAGTATTGGAGGGGCTGACCCAAAGAAGAGGGGGGGTCAACTTATTCTCCAAAGCACCTGAAGGCAGGAAAAGAAGCAACGGATGGAAACTAATCTAGGAGAGGACCAACCTGGAATTAAGGATAAAGTTCCTGACAAATTAATCGGTGGGATGATTTGCCTTTAGAAGTTATGAATGCTCCATCGCTGGAGTTTTTTTTAAAGAACTGGACAACCATCTATCTGAAATGGTACAGGGCCTCCTGCTCGAACGGGAGGTGGGACTAGATGATCTCCAAGGTCCCTTCCCACTTGGTTATTCTGATCAGAGAACACAAAGGAGAGGAGACAAAAGGCTTCCTTCCCGCCAAGCGCGCATCTTTTCTTGAATGAGGAGAATGTGCTGCCGTCAGCATATTGGGTTTTGTTTAGTGTGCAAGCATGCGCTACAGTGTGCACAAAAACCCACTGGTATACGACCTGCCTTTTCTCATGCTGGAGACCGGCAAATTCTTACCTATTTTAATTCCGTCCATTTTTTTTTTTTATAAAAAAAATGAATGTCGTTTTAATGTTTTTCCAGGCAAATATCCACAAAATAGGACGGGCTATTAATGGTGACGACTGCAGAGGTTCCTTGACGTACAAGGAATCAGAATTTCCACTGCCAAGCGAGCTTCTTTGTTAAGTGAGTCATGTCCAGTTTTACGACCTTTTATGCTGCGGTCGTTATGCAAGCCGCAGCAGTCATTAAGGGAGCGCCGCTTTGGCTAAACAAATCCGGTTTCCCCTGCTGACTTTTGCTTGTCCGAAGCCGGCTGGGAAGGTTGCCAGTACATACAGAAATTTTATATATATATATATATATATATATATCTATATAAAATAAATAAATAAATACATACATACAGAAATACATACCGGTTGCTAAGCTCCTGAATTTTGATCGTGGGATGGTGAGATGGCTGCGACGGTCATTGAGTGCAAGGAACGGTCGTAAGTTGTAACTTCAAATAGTCACTAACATTTCACAGTTACGACTGTTGCAGCATCCCCATGTTCACGGGATCAAAATTCGGATGCTTAGCAACTGGTTCAGATTTATGACCGTTGCTGTCTCCCTGATCCCCTTTTGCGACCTTCTGACAAGCAAAGTCAATGAAGGAGCCACATTCACTTAACGACTTATCAACTGCCGTTAACAACGGAGGCAAGAAAGGTTGTAAGATGGGGGCAAAACTCACTGAACAAATGTCTCACTTAATGACAGAAATTTCGGGCTCAATTGTGGTTGTAAATCGAGGACTACCTGAAATCCCCTTCAAATTATCCCAGATTCCAAGAAGGGAATCAAACTACCAACATTTGGTGCTCAAATCTGAAAGCAGCAACAGATAAGAAAGCGGTCACGGAGCAGAATGGTTCCTCTAATCTTAAAGTGACTACAGGCAGTCCTTGGCTTATGACCACAATTGAGCCCAAGATTTCTCTTGCTACGTGAGACATTTTTTAAGTGAACTCTGCCCCGTTTTATGGCCTTTCTTGCCACCGTTGTTAAGTGGATCACGGCAGCAAAGCTGGTTTCCCTGTTGATCCAGATGGTGATCTCTCTCTCTCTCTCTCTCTCTCTCTCTCTCTCTCTCTCTCTCTCCCTCCCTCTCTCTCTGCCTCCCTCTCCCTCCCTCCCTCTCTCCCTCTCTCTCTCCCCCTCCCTCCCTCTCTCCCTCCCTCGCTCTCTCCCTCCCTCTCTCTCCCTCGCTCTCTCCCCCTCCCTCCCTCCCTCTCTCCTCCCTCCCTCTCTCCTCCCTCCCTCTCTGCCTCCCTCCCTCTCTCTGCCTCCCTCTCTCTCCCCCTCCCTCCCTCTCTCTCTCCCTCTCTCTCTCTCCCTCCCTCCCTCTCTCAACAACCAAGAAAGTCCAATTGCTGGGTCTGTGGCCCCCTTCCTCACCTTCTCTCCCAAGGGACAGTAGCCCTTCAGGAAGTCCGGGCAGACCTCTGCTTTCCTGGACACGTAGACGTGGCTGTATGGACAGTCGTTGTTGCTGCAGATTCCCTTCAGGAAGTAGGAACAGACGGGCATCTGACAGGGGGAAGCAAAGAGAGAGGAGGATTGAGTGAGGACCTTCTGCAAGCCAGAAAAACAGCAAACCAACTGCCAAACCCACCCCATGTTCCTTTGGGGAGTACCGCTCTACGCTGCACTGGTGAGGCCGTATTTGCAATTTTGCATGGAGGGCAATGAAGGGGCTGGAGGAGAGTCTTATGAAGAGTGAAAAAACTTAGGAGGAGTGAAATGTCTATGGGGATTCTCAGTCCTACAGGTCCTGGTTGTCCCAAAGGTGCTTTTTTTTTCAAGAGGCAACTAGACTCTTTGAAGATGTTTCGTTTCTCCTCCAAGAAGCTTCTTCGGCTCCGACTTTATGGTGGGGAATGGAAGGGTTTATATTCCTTGCAGACAACTGGTCATTTGCTTCCTTTTAGGGAGTCGCTGAGGCCCCCTGGAAGTTCATCTGTGTCCTCAGGGCCACCTGAGTGGTGCAAACAGGTGTGGAGCCTTCTTGGAACTGTTGACTGTGTTGTAGACTGGAGATGGGGTCCCTCCCCCTCTGTTGAGAGAGGGTTGTTCAATTTGGACATAGATGTCCTCTTGGAGCCCCCTTTCAAACCAGCAGTCCTCTCTGTCCAAAATGTGGACTCCGCTGTCTTCAAAAGAGCGGCCTCTGTCTTGAGTTTTGCCCCATTTTACAACTTCTCTTGCTACATTTCTTAAGGGAATCACTCTGGTTGTCCCAAAGGAGCTTTTTTTTCAAGAGGCAACTGGACTTTCTTGGTTATCTTTGAAGATGTTTTGCTTCTCCTCCAAGAAGCTTCTTCAGCTCTGACTGGATGGTGGGGAATGGAAGGATTGATATTCCTTGCAGACAGCTGGTCATTTCTATACTTTTAGAGAGTCCTTGGAGGTATCTCCATAGACCAGGGGTCCCCAAACTTGGCAGCTTTAAGACTTGTGGACTTCAACTCCCAGAATTCTCCAGCCTTCTGGGAATTGAAGTCCACTAGTCTTAAAGCTGCCAAGTTTGAAGACCTCTGCCATAGACAATCACTGCGTTTGTTAAATTAGCCACACGGTTGTTAAGTGAATCTGGCTTCCCCATGGACTTTGCTTGTTGCAAAATGGGATCGCGTGACCCCGGGATTCTGCGACCGTCATAAACCATGAGCCAGTTGCCAAGCATCTGAATTTTGATCGTGGGGCCGTAGGGATGCTGCAATGGTCGTATGCGTGAAAACCGGTCGTAAGACCCTTCTTCAGGGCCGCTGAAACTTCGAACGGCGTTGTAAGTCGAGGACTTCCTGTCGCGCGAGATAGCGAGGGGGAAGGGAGGGAACGGCAAGCTAGAAGGCAAGGAAAACAAAGGGAGTTTTGAAAAGCAAGGAGTTTATTTTTAATTGTCTTTTAACTGCAGGCTACTCCAATAAAGGAGAGGGCTCCAGGGCTCTCTTGGCGATCGGCCGTGGCGTGACCGTCCACGGACGCCTTTAATGTAGCTTTTGATAGAGCGATCAAATTAGCTCTAATAAAAAGAGGATAATGAAGCCCCCACCCCGATGCAGGACTCGGGCCCCTCCCAGCTGCCGGGGCTGAGCCATTACCCCGAGAAGTGCGTTCTCGTTTCAATTAACCTTGTTTGCACCCGGCTACGTCCCTGCAAATAACGGCAACATTAACGCAAAGCGCTCGCGCGCCGCGGCCATATTAGGCAGCTCCGACGAGGCGCCCGCCTTCGCGAGCCGGCAGCTAATGAACCCGAAACTCAACGTGAATTTCCAAATTGCTCACCACAGAATTTTGAAGCTCTATTAGGGAGAAAAATGCTGATTCTTGTCAAGTCCCCTGAAGGGGAAAAGCTGTTGCAGCAGCAGCCTGCCTCCTCGGCCCAAACCCCAGCCTGCCGCTAACCTTCGTCTCCGATCTCAGCCGTCGTCGGGATGAGAGGCCCCGGGGCCCACTCAGGATGGGGCCAGGAGATGGAGGGCCTTTGCCCCACAATCCATTCTCCTTCTCTCCATCCCTGGAGGTTTTGAAGGAGAGGCCAGACAGCTACTTATCTGAAATGGGATAGGTTCTCCCGCTTGAGGGGGGGGGAGGCGGGGGGGGGCTGGACTAGAAGACCTCCAAGGTCCCTTGAAATGGCTGGAGGCTCCCTCTGGGCACACCCCGGTGGGTGGGAAAGGGGCCTTAAAAGAAGGGGCTCCGCTCAGGTGTAGGGGAAGATCCAAGCCCCCATGTCTGCTGGAGGAATTAACTCGCCAGCTGCTCTCTTTTGGTCCCGCTTTGATAAACGAGGCTGGGGCCACCTTTTTCTGGTAATTACCAGATTAACAGGAAGCTACAGGATCAGGTGCAGAAGCCAGCCCCTCTCCCTCGGCTATAAATCACCGGCAAGCGGCTCTCCCCTAAGCAGAGGGAGCTTGCCTGGCCCAGCCACGGGGGCTGAATGTGGGGAACAGACGTCCCCCCCTTTTCTGCTCGCATTCAAAGCCCCGGAAGACGGAGCTCTCTTGGGTTGCATTGTTCTGTGCTGGGCAAGAAAAGGGAATTCTCCCTTCACTCGCAAATGCAGTGGGAATGTTTCTCTGTGTCATAGAATCTATGTGGGCCCCTGCATAATTTTGTATTTATGTACTGATATTTTTTGTCGTGTTTGGGTAGCGTCTGTGGGAGACGGTGACCCTTTGAGAGCTGCGGGCAACGAAATTTCATTTTAACGCACGCCGATTAGTGTACAAGCAAAGTGACAATGAAGTTCTATTCTATCTAGCCATCTATCCAAAAATAAGAAGAAAGCAAGGGCGAATGTGAGGGGAGGGAGGAAAGAAGGAAGGAAGGAGATGAAAAAGGAAGGAAGGAAGGAAGGAAGGAAGGAAGGAAGGAAGGAAGGAAGGAAAGAAGATGAAAAAGGAAGGAAGGAAGGAGGCAAGAAACAATCTTTGGACTGGTATTTTTATATTTTATATTCAATAAAATATTGAAATGTAAAACAGCATATATAAACATTAAACATTTTTTTCTCCCCACGTACATGTATACACTCGAACTAGACTGTGTGGTTTCTCTGTGTCATAGAATAGATGTGGGCCTAGGCATAATTTTGTATTTATTTATTTATTTATACTTCTGTCGTGTTGGTGTCGTGTATGTTGGAGGTGGAGACCTTTGGAGAGCTGCATACCCTGAAATTTCATTTGAGCACCTGGCGATTAGTGTGCCTTCAAAGTGACCATAAAGTGATTCTAAGTCTAAGGAAAGGAAAGGAAAGGACTGTGTCGCTTGCGTGGATTTCAGGTAGTCCTCGACTTACGACCGCAACTGAGCCACAACATTTATTTCCAAGCTGAAGTCCACCTATCTTAAAGTGACCGAGGTTGAGATGCAGGTAAACCTTGACTTGTAACTGCAATTGAGCCCAAAACTTTCCGCTGCTAAGTAAGGCCATTGTTAAGTGAGCTTTGCTCCATTTTACGGCTTTCTTGTGAAGTGATTCACCGCGCTTGTTAAGTAGCACGGTTGTTAAGTGAGTCTGGCTGCCCCGTTGACTTTGCTTGCCAGAAGGTCGCAAAAGTGGATCACGTGACCCCCCCCGGGATAAGTACAGGTAGTCCTCAACTTATGACTGCAATCGAGCCCAACAATTGAGCCAGCTTAGTGTGGCTAAGCGAGACATGGGCTGAGTGAGTTGTGCCCCCATTTTACGACCTTTCTTGCCACACTTGTTAAGTGAATCACTGCTTCGGTCGTTAAGTGAATTGGGCTTCCATGCTGACTTTGCTTGTCGGAAGGGGAATCACCAGACCCTGGGGGGACCCGGCGACTGTCATAAATACGAACCAACTGCCAAGCGTCCGAATTTTGATCACGTGACTACGGGGAGGTCATTAAGCGTGAAAAACAGTTACTTTTTTCAGTAGCTTTGTGACTTCAAACAGTCACTAACTGAATGGTTGTAAGTCGAGGACTTCCTGTACGGAAAGATGACCTTGTCACTGCAAAAGACAACACACAAACACACACACAAGACAACTCGAGATAACTCATCCGTGGCAAAACTATTTTTGTGTCGTTACAAAAGGACCCTTGAATAGGGAGGCACATCCATCCTCCCCAGAAATTACACGGCGTCGCTCAGCCAGTTTCAATCTCACGCATGACGGGCGAATCGACATGTCCCAGGTTGCAGGATCCAATCTGGGTCGGTCGCCTTGACCAGAGATTTAGTCGGTCCCGACTGGATCCTGCAAAATTTAAAGTCTTTTCCTGCTTTTTCGGAGACCTGCTCTCTGAGCCCCTGGCCAAAGCAAGCCTTCCGGGAGAGGCAGCCTTGAAGGGACGTAGCCAGCTGTTCTGAACACACATATAAAAATAAGTAAATAAGCAGTTTCTCATCCTGTCGGCACATCTGGCCAGCTGGGCTTTTACCTGCTGGGTCAGCAGCTGTGCAGAGCAAAGTTAGATATAGATTAACAGAGTTGGGAGGGACCTTAGAGATCTTCTAGTCCAGCCCCCTGCTAAGGCAGGACATCCAATACCATTTCAGACAAGTGGCTGTTCCAGTCTCTTCTTGAAAACCTCCAGTGATGGAGCACCCACAACTTCAGGTGGCAAGCTGTCCCACTGGTTAATTGTCCTCACTGTCAGGAAGTTTCTCCTTAATTCCAGGTTGCTTCTCTCCTTGATGAGTTTCCATCCGTTGTTTCTTTGTCTTGCCTTCTGGTGCTCTAGAAAACAGGATGACCCCCTCTTCTTTGGGGCAACCCCTCAAATACTGGAAGACTGCTATCATCTTGCCGACTCTAGTTGTGGCAGTTCTCATCTCTGTTTCAAGGCCATTGAGCCAGCGCTGTCCTAAGACATTTTCGTGGTCATGTGACCGTGATGTCATCACGGAGCGCTGTTACCAAAGTGGTACCTAACCTAGCAGTGCTTTTGAACTGCTAGCTTAGCAGGAGCTGGGGTAAGGACAGGAGCTCACCCCATCACGAGGCGCTCGGGTCTCGAACTTGGGCTGCTGGCTTTCCAGCCAACAAATCAGAAATCAGAATCAGGATAGAGCTGGAAGGGACTTTGAAGGTCTTCTAGTCCAGCTGAGCATCTTAACCGCTGAGCCACCGTGCTGCCCGATATTATATGGTAGCTAGGATCATCATAGGTAGCTAGGATTATATGGTAGCTAGCATTCCAGAATGCTGATCTTGGAGGGTGTTGTCATGCCCCCGCCCCCCTCGGAGCGTGAATCTGTGGAGGAAGAAGAGCTGGAAGATTGAAGGGGGGGCTTCGTTGGAATATGAGGAGGAGGAGGCCAAGTCAGGCCAGGGCATTTCAGGACTGGGACGGCTTGTAGGCAGGGAGAAAGGGGGGCAGAATGACCAAAAGAGGCGAAGCAGTGAACATCAGAGACAGAGCAAAGGCGAAGAGCAAGGACCACCCCCCTCCTCATCCCCGAGCACGGAGAGTGGAGAGAAGGCAAGAACAGTGCAGGCTGACCCAACAACTTGGGGAGGAGAGCGCCCCGCCCCTCTTCACAAGGCATACCTGGGGACTTAAGGGGATGCTGTGGGGAGGGGCATTTGTCAGGAACAAATACTGAATTCATGGAGTGTTGTGTGCCGTTGCTGAAGTTGGACGTTTCCTGGACTCCTTGCCTTGTTCCTTTGCTTCCTGGACTCATTGACTTATTCTCTTGCCCTGCTGGATTTCTTGCTTTGCAGCCGTTGTGCTGACAGCATTGTGCTGGACTACTCTGCAGCCAGAGGCTACTAGAGGTGTGTGCGTGTGTGATCACTTGCCAGAAATGTGGGAGCATTTGGGAGAAAGTTGGACAATAAAAGGGCGGTTTGAACTATCAGCTGCCTGAGTCACTTCTGTGTCGTGCCCCAGGTCATCAGAGGTATTCTTCAATCTGAGTTGTTGTTTTTTTTATTTGCATGGCCAAGGAATCAGGGTGTAATGTGCAAATGAGCCTGGAGGTACATCTACAAGCACGTGAATGTGTGTGTGTTGGCCAGGGCCTCAGCTGCTCTACCCTTTATCCCCGTAATCCCTACTACAGTGGCAGCCAGGCAGCCTCAGGTGCTGCCGAGCGGCACCCGGCTTAATGTGCTAAAGTACGGATGCTTCAAGTTGGTGCAAGAGACACACTCTGCTCTCATTAGGGGGAAGCGTCCCCGTAACTGTGGGAAAACGCTTCGTCGAGGGATGTGCAAATGAAGGAGATTAGAAAGTGTCGGAAGCATCCCACCCCCACCCCCACTGCTGCTGTCTCCGCAGAGAGCCACTTAGCGACCGAGGCAAACCAACCTTGTCCTTCGAAATCTTGTGTGCGAAGGGACACGTCCCATCCGTCTTCTTGCAGGCGCCGCGGAGGAATCTGTCAAGGGGACCAAAGAGAGGGTCGACTTAGGAGATGCAGAGAGTAAGGAAGAAGACCTCGCCGGAGGGGGTGGGTGGTCCTCGGCTTACGACCACAACTGGGCACTGGAATTTCAGTTCCTAAAGCAGGGGTCAGCAACCTGCGGCTCCGGAGCCGCATGTGGCTCTTTGGGCCCTCTGCTGTGGCTCCCTATCAGGTGATCTCACCACTGGCTGGCCCCGCCCCTCGCCCTTCCCTCCCAGTCACTCCTCGCCTGGCCTGAGAAGGTAAGGGCGAAGGCGGGGGATGGAGAAGCGGCCAGGGCAGAGACAGAGAGATACAGAGAGAGGGGGAGAGAGAGGGAGGGGAGTGAGAGATATGTCAAAAGAGCCTTGATAGTACAGTGGTTTAATGCACCCTGTTATTAACACAGCTGCCTGCAATTACTGCAGGGTTCGAATCTCGCCAAGGCTCAAGGTTGACTCAGCCTTCCATCCTTTCTAAGGTAGGTGAAATGAGGACCCGGATTGTGGGGGCAATAAGCTGACTTTGTATAAATATACAAAAGTATGAAGGCTATTGCTTAACGCACTGTAAGCCGCCCTGAGTCTCCGGAGAAGGGCGGCATATAAATCAAATTTAAAAAAAAAAAAAAAAAGGATTTTGTGGTTCCTGGTGTTTTTTAACAACTGGTTCTCTGCCCTAATGACCGGCTGGGTAGGCGTGGCTAGGCGGTGTCATGTGACTGGTGGAAGTGAGTGACATCGAGTTGGCCACGCCCACCCAGGTTTTGTGGCTTCCGGTGTTTCCTTTTCTCTGGGAAAAGGGGCCAAATGTCTCCTTGAGTATTTAAGGTTGCAGACCCCTGTCATAAAGCAAGGCAATGATTAAGTGGCTTCTGCCTGGTTTTATAACTCTTTTTTTCACTATGGTTGTTAAGGAAATCACTGAAACTGTAGAAGGACAGAGTCCTTCACAAACAGCCCAACCCTTCTTGAAGCCTTTTAACTCTTACCTTGAACCAATTGAGTCAATCATCATCGTCAATTAACGACCCCATAATCCCTTGCAGGGTGGAGTCTGGGCAACTGAACGGAGCTAGCAAGAGTATTTTCCTGGCTGGATGTCCTACCTGTCGCCAGTGCGGAGTTTTGTTCAGCAGATATATTCTCATTGTGCCCAAGAGAGAGAAAAATATCTGCCTCTACCTAGGATCGAACTCACAGCCTCTTGATTGTGATGCGAGAGCTCCACCTCTACCCCACCGCACCACTCTACCTTGCACTAATTGAGTGCCAATCATTAACTGATTAAATTCCTGCGGATAGGCATGGAAACTTGAATGTGTGGCCCTGATTCTTCTTATGACGGGTTGCAGGGTTCCGGGGTCATGTGATTCCCTTTTGCGACCTTCTGACAAGAAAAGTCAATGGGGAAAGCCAGGTTTACTTAACCACCGGGTTACCAATTTAACCGCTGCAGTGATTTGCTTAACGACGGTGGCAAGAAAGGTTGTGAAATGAGGCAAAACTCATCTCGATGACTGTCTTGTTTAACAACAGGAATGTTGGGCTCAGTTGTGGTCATAAGTCGAGGACTACCTGTATTAAAAAAAACTAAACTGTGTTAAGAAACTAGAGCAGGGCTTCTCAACTTTGGCCACTTTCAGATGGGTGGACTTCAATTCCCAGAATTCCCCAGCCAGAATTCTGAAAGTTGAAGTCAGAATCAGAATCAGAATTGAGCTGGAAGGGTCTTTGGAGGTCTTCTAGTCCAGCCCCCTCCTCAAGCAGAAGAGCCTATACCATTTCAGTCCAGTCTCTTCTTAAAAACCTCCAGTGATGAAGCACCCACAACTTCTGGTGGCAAGCTGTTCCACCGGTTAATTGTCCTCCCTGTCAGGAAGTTTCTCCTTAATTCCAGGTTGCTTCTCTCCTTGATGAGTTTCCATCCGTTGCTTCTTGTCTTGTCTTCAGGTGCTTTGGAGAATAGCTTGATCCCCTCTTGTTTCTGGCAGCCCCTCAAATACTGGAAGACTGCTCTCATGTCCCCCGCAGTCCTTCTTTTCTCTAGAGTAGCCAAATCCAAATCCTGCAACCGTTCTTCATATGTTTTCATAAGTCATACGGTTCATATGTCCCCATATCTGAAAGTGGCCGAGGTTGAGAAACACTGATCTAGGTATTAAAAGGTGAGATTATAGCTGGTATGTAGCCTCTAATTTTTGGCCGAAAGGGGACGGGGAAGAGAAAGACAAGAGACCTGGTGCAGACTGCCACTTTCTCGGGGTCGTGGATGTACGGACAGCTCTCCCCGCGGTTGCACTTCCCGAAACGGTTGTAGTACATGCAGTATTCCTTCTTCCGCTCCTTCCGCAGCTTGGCTTGGCGAATGATAGCTAGGCTCCTTTGCACAGCGCGGCTGCAGGGAGGGATAGAAGCAGACAGGAGAGCTCAGAGTTAGGCAAGGCCTTTTACAGAGTACAATACTAGTTTGATTTATTATTATTTTATTAGTTTGATTTATATGCCGCCCTTCTCCGGAGACTCAGGGCGGCTTACAATGGGTTAAGCAATAGCCTTCATACTTTTGTATATACCTGCCTAGTAGGGCTTTCGCCCCCCCCCCCAAGCGGTGTTCTTTTTTATACAAAGTCAGCTTATTGCCCCCACAATCCGGGTCCTCATTTTACCTACCTCGGAAGGATGGAAGGCTGAGTCAACCTTGAGCCTGGTGAGATTTGAACTCGCAGTAATTGCAGGCAGCTGGCAGCTAAGTGCTACTTTAACAGTAGTTTAGTCTACTGCACCACCAGGCTCTTCCTGGTGGTGCAGTATTGGCTCTTCCGATAACAGTCTAACAGACTTGGAAGGGACCTGGGAGGTCTTCTAGTCCAACCCCTTGCTCAAGAAAGAGACCCTAGATCATTCCGGACAAATGGCCGACCAATTTCTTCTTAAAAACCTCCAGTGATGGAGCACCCACAAGTTCTGGAGGGAAGATGTTCTACTAATGAATTGTTCTGAATGGGGATACAGAATAGCAGAGTTGGAAGGGACCTTGGAGGTCTTCTAGTCCAACCCCCTACTCAAGAAGGAAACCCTAGACCATTTCAGATAAGTGACTGTCTAGTCTCTTCTTAAAAATCTCCAGTGATGAAGCACCCACAACTTCTGGAGGCAACTTCTGTTTCACTTGTTAATGGTTCTCACTGTTAGGAAATTTCTCCTTAATTCTAAATAATGTAATAACAATAACTTTATTGTCATTGTACAGTATACCCATACAACGAAATTCACTTAACACCCAAAGACCAGGTCCAACACACATAACAATCCCCAAACACACCCCCACCCACCACAAATTCCCCACCCCTAAACCACCCAAACATCCACACAACAGACCAAGTAATGCTGTCCATCAGCTCACTGATGGTGGCCCTTTAGTTCATGGTTGAGTGCAATTATAGCTCTGGGATAAAAACTATTCAGAAAACATGCGGTCCGAGTTTTCATTGTTTATGGTTTCTCCCCTTGATTGGGGGGGGGGGGGGGGGTTGGGGGGGGTGGAGGGGGGGGTTTGGGGAAGAAAAGAAAAAAATGAAAGAGACCCACCACCCAAAGCAGAAACCGAAATGATGTGGAGGGCGGAGAACAGATTGAAATTTCAGGAGAACGGGGACTTCCGACGTCCAGATTGCATATAATGTGGGTATCGATCACTTTAATTCACTCAGTATTGAGTAGCCAACCGTTGGAACGACATTATTAAAGCACTTATTGAAAAGAGCAGGGATCGGCCCTCTGGGTGCTGGTAACATTCAAGCAATTCTTTCAATAGTGATGGGGAAATTAGATCTATCGGTGGGATTCATTAATTTGGGCATTGTTAACCTGCGTCGGCGGCTCCGTTGCCGGGATTAAATGACTGCGGTGCATAAATGTGTATTAAAATCTCCCTCTGAGCCTCCCTTGGTCTTCTTGGCTCAAGGCGGCTGCCAACCTCCAAAATTCACTTCGAAAGGCAAGAAAACAAGGAAGAGAATTTAAAGGAGGACATCTAAGCCGAATGGAAGGGGCCTGCTCTGAGAGCCCCTCTTCGATTTAAGGGGCTTGTGGGCTGTGGATGAGAGGTTCCGTTGCTCCCAGGAGACAGAGGTGGGGATCTTGGCTAAGAGATCCCTCATGTCCAAGCTGCTCACCTGGCATTTGACCAAGGAGGTGGGATTTTGATTTAGTGTCACAATCTAAAGCAGGCGATTTTCTGGTCCCTGAGACAAATTGTCACAGTGGACCAAGTCTCATTTTTTTAATTTATCTATTTGATTTTCATCCCGCCTTTATAAGTAACTCAAGACGGCAAGCATAGCTGGTACTCCTTCCTCCTCTTCATTTTCCCATAACAACAACCCAGTCAGGTGGGCCGCGACGAAGAAACTGGCCCAGAGTCACCCATTCAGCTTTCATTCCTAAGGCAGGACTAGAACTCACCGTCTCCTGGTGACTGGCCTAAAGTGGCCGAACTGGCTTTCATGTCTATGACGAGACTAGAACTCACTGTCTCCTAGCGATTGGATCAAAGGCACCCAGCCAGCTTTCATGCCTAAGAAAGGACTAGAACTCCCAGTGTCCTAGTGATCAATCCAGCTTTCGTGCTTAAGGCAAGACTGGAACTCACCGACTCCTGGTTTCTAGGCCAGGGCTTTCACCATTACCCCAAACTGGCTCTAAATCTGGGATGTTTGTCTGTGCCGACTGCTGATTGAGGGGGTCCTGCCCCATTTCCGTTGCCTTCGAAAATCAGGCCCCCAACCAGGTACGTGCTAAGGCTGGGACCTGTTGGGTCTCCCAGAGAACAGTTTCAGGAATCCCAGGTCTTTTTAAAGGGGATTGAGAACTTCAAGTGATTTGGAGATTTGTAGCATGGCCGCCCCGCACCAATGGCTGGCTGCCACTCCCCCCCAACTCTTAAATCAAGGAGAGAAGCAACTTAGAACTAAGGAGAAATTTCTTGACAGGGAGAACAATTAACCAGCGGAAGAGCTTGCCTTTGGAAGTTGTGAAGGCTCCAACACAGGAGGTTTTTAAGAAGATTTTTTTTTTGCTTTAATTTATATGCCGCCCTTCTCCGGAGACTCAGGGCGGCTTACAATGCGTTAAGCAATAGCCTTCATACTTTTGTATATTTATACAAAGTCAGCTTATTGCCCCCACAAACTGGGTCCTCATTTCACCTACCTTAGAAAGGATGGAAGGCTGAGTCAACCTTGAGCCTGGTGAGATTCGAACTTACTTTAATTGCAGACAGCTGGTGTTAAATTACAGTGCTTAGTCTGCAGAGCTATCCAGGCTCTTGGACAACCACTTGTCTGAAATGCTATAAGGTCCCCTGCTTGAGCAGGGGGTTGGACTAGAAGACCTCCCAGGTCCCTTCCAACTCTGTTATTCCATTCTTAAGTGAAGGTGCGCATGTGCGCCTAGGACCCCGGGGCTCTTTCCAGAACGCGACTAACCTGGCAATGTAGCGGCTGGTGATCGACCGGTTTGGCCAACCCGGTGGAGAATACCCGGGAGTGCCAGGCGCCGAGTCGGGCCGTGAGGCTGCAGGAGAGAAAGAGAAGCAGTTCAGAGAGATAATTAAGCCCTAGGAATTAACACGTAGGTAGGCTTTGCAGGTAGTCCTCGATTTACGACCATTCGTTTAGTGACCGTTCGAAGTTACAGTGGCGCTGAAAAAGAGAGATTCGTGACTGTTGTTCCCCACACTTATGACCATTGCAGCGTTCCGACGGTCATGAAGTCAAAATCTGGGCACTTTTGTCACCTGAGGTCTTTTTTATGATGGTCGCACTATGTCCCGGGGTCAATGGGAGCAGATTTATGTGATTCACTTAACATCCATGATTCACTTAACGACAATGGCAAAAAGGGGCAAAACTTGCTTAACAACTGTCTCACTTAGCGACAGAAATTTTGGGCTCAGTTCTGGTTGTAAGTCGAAGGCTACCTGTATTACGACCACAATTGAGCCCAAAATTTCTGTTGTTAAGTGAGACAGTTGTTAAGTGAGTTTTGCCCCATTTTACCGCCTTTCTTGCCACCGTTGCTAAGTGAATCATTGCAGCTGATAAGTTAGAAACATGGTCGTTGAGTGAATCTGGCTTCCCCATTGACTTTGCTTGTCAGAAGGTCGCAAAAGGGGATCACATGACCCCAGGATACTGCAACCGTCATAAATACAAGTCAGTTGCCAAGCGTAGGAATTTTGATCACATGACGATCAGGATGCTACAAAGGTCATAAGTGTGAAAAGTGGTTCAGTGCTTTTTCAGTGCTGCTGTAGCTTTGAACGGTCACTAAATGAACTGTTGTAAGTTGAGGACTACCTGTATATAAAGTTTGTGAAAGTTTTTTTTTTTTTTTTTTTTTTAATTTGATTTATATGCCGCCCTTCTCCGGAGACTCAGGGCGGCTTACAGTGCGTTAAGCAATAAGCAATAAGTTTTTATTGCACAAGCCCAGGAACTGGTAATAAACAAACTGGGAATAAACAAGGGAGAAGAAAAAAATATTGTTCCATGGCTGGCACCAAGCCAGCATAAATTAGACCAGAGTTTGCCAACCTTAGATTTAAGCTGGGTGGACTTCAACTCCCAGAATTCCCCAGCCAGCTTTGCTTGCAGATTTCTTTAATGGAATTTTATTTTCTAGCAAGGGCAGTAATGTTTTAAAGTTGTAAACTGGTAAAGTTTGGGCAGGATTTGGAACGCTTTAAACCAGTGGTGAAATCCAATTTTTTTTTACTACCGATTCTGTGGGCGTGGTGTGGCTTGGTGGGCATGGCTTGGTGGGTGTGGCAGGGGAAGGATACTGCAAAATCCCCATTCTCTCCCCATTCCTGGGGGAAGGATATTGCAAAACCTCCATTCCTACCCCACTCTGGGGCCAGCCAGAGGTGGTATTTTACCAGTTTACAACTTTAAAACATTATTGTCCTTGCTGGAAAACAAAATTCCATTTAAAGAAATCTGCAAGCAAAGCTGGCTGGGGAATTCTGGGAGTTGAAGTCCACCCAGTCTAAAGTTGCCAAGTTTAGAGACGCCTGGTTTAAAGCAGAGGTGAAATCCATCAGGTTCTGGAGAACCGGTAGCGGAAATTTTGAATAGTTTGGAGAACTGGCAAGTCTGATTGGCAGGACAGGATTTGGGATGCTTTAAACCAGGTACCTTTAAACTTGGCAACTTTAAGCTGGGTGGACTTCAACTCCCAGAATTCCCCAGCCAGCCCATCTTAAAGTTGCCAAAGTTGAAAAAAAAAACACTGAATTAGAGTCTTTATAGTGTTCAATTGTCCATCTCTGGCATTTGGCAAAAATCCACCTACAAGGCAAAGGTCAAGCTGCAAAGAAACAGGAGACGGTCTTGTTTACTGGACACTGCTGTGGTGGACAGGTGAAAGGCAACACAACCTGGTCAAGGTATCAAGGGGAAGCATTATGCAAACTGTCCGTGCCTCAGTTGTGCTCCCTGGCACTGGTCAGTGAGCCTGAGCCTGACCCCTGTCCTGCGAGCACCCACAAGATCCAGTCCTGGCAGCTTCTCTGCATCCCCCCCCCCCAGTTTCAAGGGGGGGCCAACGACAGATCTTTGCTTCTGAAAGCTGCACCAGATGTCTTACACCAGGTGTGATCCGATGCTCTGGTGAAGCTCCTTTTCACTCCCGTTGCAGAGATGTGGGGGAAGTGTTGGGACAAACAGAAAGAAAAATGTTGATTTATGTGCACACCAGAAATCTAAGTGGCCGGCATCAATAAAGGATAAAACCACTCGGATGCCACTGCAGCAGGAATTCTAATTTATACAACAGAAACAAAACCAACAGACAAAGCAATCTGCATCCTAAGCGATCTCAAAACGATGCTCTTTAGTAGCCTTTGTCCTGGAGTCACTTAGCAGCTCTTAAATCTGACCCCGCCAGTGCCCTGCCTGCTCAACACCAACCCCCCACATCACAGAAGCCAGTGAAAGAGACAGGTGGGGCACCCCACACCATAAGTCCATCAAAGTCTTCCAGAACCTCCATCTCCCTCTGCCAGACCCATTTGGCCGAATTGCCGTCTCGACTTTATAAATTCATGAACTCAGAAGGACGAAGCAAAGCATCCAGCAGCATATTTTATTTATTTAATTTGTATACCGCCCTTCTCCAACAGGACTCAGGGCGGTGAACAGCCATGGTAAAACATAACATATAAAATTTAAAAGCAATTTAAAAAACATTAAATAATGCTGGCTATCCATTTAAAACAACCTGGATTAAAACCAATTACAAATTAAAACTGAAGGGATGGGATCCTGGCCAGCTTTCTCCATGAGCTGGTTTCTCTTTCCATCAGACACTTGCCAGGAGTTAGTTGATTGGATCCCTAGTTCCTCTAATGGCCAGCTCAGCCTTCCCCAACCAGGAGGACAAAAAGAAAGAAAGAAAGAAGGGAGGGAGGGAGGGAGGGAGGGAGGGAGGGAGGAAGGAAGGAAGGAAGGAAGGAAGGAAGGAAGGAAGGAAGGAAGGGAGGAAGGAAGGAAGGAAGGAAGGAAGGAAGGAAGGAAGGAAGGAAGGCATCACTGATGAGGTTGCCTAGTTGGGTCATGAAACATCTGCAAGAAAACCACCAAGCTCAGAGAGCACCAAGGACAAGGAAGGTGAGAATAAAGGTGAGAAGGGAGGGAGGGAGGAAGGGAGAGAGAGACATCAATTTTGACGTACACCTAGCAGGGTAATGAAATATCTGTCAGAAAACCACCAAACTCAGAGAGCACCTGTGACCCCACAGTTCAGCCCTGAGCTACAAAGGCCTCCTTCTGTTGGTCTTCTGTATCTTTCCTTTGGAAGCCTTGCCCTTCCACCTGGCTCTCCTGCACGCAAAGCCAAGCAGGTGTCCGGCCCCCGAGTTCTGGACAATCTTCAAGAGGTTTAGGGAGATGACCCAGGAAGGAACAGTCTTCTTTGAACTGGGCTGTCTAAATTTGGGGTCCGCGGCTGGAGCAGCCCCCAAAGAGAGGCTTTCGCTATTCATTAGGCGTTCACCTGCCCACGTGGCTCCAACTGGCGCGGTGGGAGTTCCTGCGCCGTCAGCCGAGACGTGCGCCGGCAGCGCTCCAGGTGGGATGAGCATCCCTCCGTCACTCACCTGCCAACCCGACTGTGTTCCTGAGAGAGTGAGTGGAATTTGATAGTGCGTCAAGCGGTGCTCCCTTCACCGGGACTGTCACGCGGCCGACTGCTGACGGCACAGCCCCATCTGTTCCTTGGGTAAATACAGTGCCCAGTGCAGTTGTCGCAATGAAGTGTGTGTGTGTGTGTGTGTGTGTGTGTGTGTGTGTGTGTGTGTGCGCGTGCATCAGAGGGACCTGTGGAATCCAGCTTTTGGGGGGGGGGGGAAAGGGAAAAAGCTGCGGGGAGGGGGCCCCCCCCCCCGCTAAAGACCAAGTGAAACACCCCAGTGTCCAGGTTTCTGCTTGTTTGACGGTGCCACACTGCGAGGAAAGAGGCCTTCGCGGTGGAAATTGTGGCAAGAACCGCAAGGCACCAAGTGACACCTCCCGGTGTTAAAAAATGCACACCACCGAACTTGCTTGGGAAAAAGATATTAAACCGAAGATGCTAAGAGAAAAGAGGGAAGGTGTTAAAAACGTTCTGAGGGGTTAGGGTTAGGGTCCTCAATTTACGACCCACAGCTGAGCTCAAAATTTCCGCTGCTAAGCGAGACAGTTGTATTGCCCCATCTTACAACCTTTCTTGGCACGGGAACGCATGAAGGTGTTTTGAATTTAGGAAGGGAATGTGAACGGTGAATAAGATGTTTGGGCACGTAAAAAAACTAGAAAATTCTGGATTTAAATCCATTCAGTGATTCAGAGGATTTTAAAGATTGATGTGCAATCGAAACCAGATAGATTTTTCTATTTTGGTATGGATTCACAAACACTTGAGGAAAAGTCACAAAACTTAGGGGGGTTTTTTTGCACGATAACCGTAGCGAGATGGAAAGATTTGGCTCTGCCCACGACGGAGGGACGATTGGCGAAGGCGATGGAACTTGCTGAGTTGGCAAAATTGACTTCTTTGATCAGAGAAAAGACATTATGTATGTTTATTGCTGGCTGGAAAGCCCTTATAGGCTATTTTGCGTGAAATGAACGGGGGGAAAAAAATGAACTTATGATTTATGATTTTGATGATTCGAGAGGATAGATTATAGAAAGAAGAGAGCTACCCGGTAACCGCAGAGAGAGAGAGGTAAATTTATAATTGTAGTTATAACCATAAAAGACGAGAAGCTAGTTCTTTATATCTTTTTTCTTTCTTTTTCTATTTTAATTTTGCTCCCCCCCTCTTTCTTTCACCCTTCTCTTTGATTTATTTCTTTTTTCTTACTTTCTACTGTTATTAGTTTGCAATAGTTTTTATCTTCGGGGTTGTTTTTTTTAGGTGTACACAGTGGCAGCAAATGCTGTATATGGTCGCATTGGACGAATGTTTCCAAAATGGCAGATTTAACGCTGCCTGGTATAATAACTGCAGCCCCCTCCATATACGACCAT